CTCTGACATTATGCTGCCCACCCTGTACACAGTGAGGGGTAAATACACACAAGCAAGATCTGGACTCAACACACAGTGGTTAATTCTGCTTCAGTCTATAAAAACACACCTTGCCAGCTGGAACTGCGATGGATTTCCACACCCAAATGGAATAAAGTCTTGTAGGAGGAAAGCTAAAGAGTTACCAAAACACGAGAATAACAGCAGCCTCCGAGACAGAGCTGCTGGCAGACAGACCCGGGCAGCTCCAGCAGAAAGGGGAATTCACCGGCACAGGTGTGTGACCTCCTTTCCTCAGGGCTTCATTCTGCCACAATTCTCTGGTGCCAGATCAAAAACAACACTACACAAAGCCCTCTACTTGGACCTGTTTCAGAAGTCATCACCAGGTAAGGAGCAAAGCCCACTAGCTTTTTTTTTTTTTTGCTTTTTAGGCTTTTTTTTTTAACAAGAAATTTCTAAATAGGTGCACAAAGTTCACAGTGTGCATTGGAAAACAAAAGCTCTGCTAAAGGTTGCAGATCCCCACAGCTGGGGCTTTTGTGTTCAGACCCTACTCACGCCCTCAGTTCTAAATAATTTTCTCTTTTACCCCTGAAGACATCAGCCTAAAAAATCCATAATCCACTAAAGCTAGAAAACAACAAGTGTGAATATCTGAATACTCTGATTTCCACACAACTACCCCAGGTCTCCTGAGGATCTACTCCTGTATTCCTGAGCACAGAACAGAAGTGAACCCAGGATTTGCCGACTGCTTGGGACTGCTGTGCAACAAGAGCTGTCAAACCATGAAGCAGCTCAGCCTCACGCTCAAACAGCCATGGAAAACCCGAGTGCTTTTTGGGACAGTGAGATTTTGCAGGTTGGGTACGTGCCAACAGCAGCAGCTTATCACAGTTCCACAGTCTTGAGAGAGACTCAGAAAGAAACTGCACATCACCCAGCACTAAAATATTCTTTAAAAGGAAGATCCAAAAAGAGGATTGGGCTAAACCATGGGACAACCCAGACTTTCTAGATGGAACACGACACCAGGAGTGAACAATTCAACTCTTACCTTTACCAGCGACTTTATCTGTGGACCTGAAAAAAAGCACAAAAGCAAGCGTAAGAGCCAGACTCTATGGGGTGGGCAGCAACAAGGAACTGAATGACATGGAGATGAGCCCCAATTCCCCAAAGCCGTGGTGCCTCTCTATAGGATCATTGTTTTCAACCCCTCATGCCAAGGTGGATTGTTTCAGCCGCAGGAAGCTGAGGGGAACTACAGGAATATCCAGCAGCAGAGGCCCAGCCATGCCCAGGACAATTAGGAGTGATCCAAGGGGGTTGTGTGCTCAGAAGAGGGGAGAGCAGCTGCACTTCCGAAGGCTCCGGTGTCCCGCTCAGGACCGAAAGTGCAGCGAACGCAGCCTCTCCACACGGGAAGGAGGATCCCACCGCCTCCCTCACCCGGACCTTTGGCAGAGGAAGCCAAACCGCGCTGGCGCCGCGGGGCACCGGGACAGCGGCCGCTGCCCGAGGGCGCTGCGCAGCCGGCGATTCCCGGGACACGGCCCTTCCTGGGAAGGGACCGGCGGGGCCGGCCCAGCCCGGCCGGAACAAAGGGGCAGCGGCGCGGGGCACCCAGCAGCCGGAGGCGGCCCCGGGCCCTGGGCCCGTTCGCGCGGGTCGGGCAGAGGCCGCATCCCCCCCCTTGCGGCCGCGACCCCCGGAAGGCGCGGGCGGAGCCGGCGCTGCAGGGACTCACCCGGCCCGGGGGGCCTTCCTGGCCGCGGGCGGCGTCTCGGCGGCGGGCTGCTCGGCGGCGGGCCGCGCCCCAGGGCTGCTCCGCCGGCGTCGGGGATACTCGGCCTTACGGCGGCGGGACGCGGCGGCGGCGGCTGCAGCTCCCCCCGCGGCCGAAGCGGCGCGGCCGCGCTCCCGGCCGCCCCTCAGCACCCGGCTGCCGCCGGACTCCTCCCCCTGATCGGCGGCGGGTGGCGGCGGCGGACGGCGGCGGCCCGAAGCCGGTGGTCGGTCGGCGGCGGGCGGCGGTCCCGGGGCGGGCGGCGGCTCGGCGGCGGCGCCCCCCGGCTGCTCGGTGCCCGCCGGCATCGGGGCGGCGGCGGCGGCGGGGCCGGGACGGCCGCGCTCCACCCTCGGCCGGGCACGCCCGCCCCCGCCGCCCACGGCCAATCAGCGCCCGCCGCCCGCCTTCACGCGCGGCCCCTGCGCCCCGCCTCCTGCCCGCGTCCACCAATCCGCAGGCGGGACTCAGGGGACGGCCCTGCCCCCCAGGACCGAGTGCCCCCGCCCGCCGCGCTCACGCCTTTCCCCGCCGCTCTCGCGCCGCCTGGCCAATGGGCGGCCCGGCCGGGGCGGGGCCCGCCCCCCCACCGCCGAGCGGCCAATCAGCGCGCTGCTCCCGCGCGCGCCCCGGACTCGCACCGCCTCTCGCGCAGGCGCTGCCACGGCCGCTGCGCTCGCGCTCCCGCTCCCCCCCCGGCTGGCCCCGCTCGGCGCCCACTCGAGCGCGGCCCCCGCCGCCGCCGCCCCGCAGGCCCCTCCGCCCGGACCGCCCGTCCGCCGCGCGGCCGCCGCCCAGGCCCTGGCTCCGCAGGGCTCCCTACCGCCGCCGCTGCCTGCGCCCCTCCGCCTGCCCCCGGGCCCCTTTGCCCCTCGGGCGAGGCCTGGCAAGGGAAGCCGCTCGCCGCCTCGCCCCACGCGGCTGCTCCGTGCCGTGGGGCTGCGGCGCCGCCCGTAGTACCGGCGGGGCCTGGCGGCCGGGCCGCTTTTTGCTACCGCTTCTCCTTTAAGAAAAAAAAAAACGCCCCGTCGGGCGGCGGGTGAAAGTCGGTGACAAAATGGTGGCCGGCGCAAGGGGGGCGGGGCACATAGCCCTGGCCCCGCCCGCTTCCGTCCCCCAGCCGCGCATGCGCGGGGCCTGCCGGGAGCTGTAGTTCCACCGGAGCTGAGGCAGCGCCAGTTCCGCGTTCCCGGCGGTGTCCCCGCCGCTAACGGCGCCTGAGCAGGAGCCCTGGGAGCGGCTGGGGCCGGGGCACCCTCCCCCCCGTGGTCTCTAAGGCCCGAGTCCCTCCCCAGAACAACCCTAGCAGCACCTGACTGTCCCACAGGAACTGCACTAACACATTGAACCCACACCAAAACACCAAAACTTCGCCCCCGCAGACACTGAAGGCACCACCCAGGAGCGGGTTTTGTCACGGTCACCACTCTCACTTTCCCTGCTGTCCCAGCCGCCTCGGTGGCTTTTGGACCGAGCAAGATGTGACACCAGGCCAGGACCTTGGGGAGCAGGACTGGGGTGTGCTCTGGAGAGGAGGGTTTGGCCAATCTTACCCAGTGCTTTATGACAGGAGAACAAAGGGTGACACTTTCCCAGAATAAGGTGCTCCTCATCCTCCCTCGGGAGACAAAAAAGCAAAAATCACTGAGGTTCAAAGAGCCTGCAGCATTGAGCTGGAAAATCCTGTTTGCTGAACTGGTTCCCAGCAGTGAGAGGGCTCCGAGCGCCTGCTGCTCCCTTCTGCTTCTGCATTTCAAATCCTTTCTGCTTCTGCATTTCAAATCCTGAGCTCTGCCATGTTCCTAGAAAACAAAAGTGTGTCCAACAGTTCCTGAGAGAGTGCTAATAAACCCCCTCACTGTGGAGAGCCGCATTCCCCTGAGCCAGACACTGGGAAGGAGGAGAATGTCCTTGCATTAAAGAAAACTTTGGGATCCTTGCACAGGGATTCCTCCTGACCCTGCTTTTTGTCAGCCCTGTGCCAACCTGTCCCTGCTGTTGTCATGACTGATTTCCCCTCTGCAGGCAAGGCTTGGGTTACTTAATTCTTGTTGGAACAGGGGAGCAGAGCTCAGGGCAGGGCACAGCTCAGCCTCCGGCCTCTGGGTTCTGTAAGGACAAGTTTTAAGTTATTCCAGCTCCAGATGCTCGCGTGCACTCGGGCTCACACATCGCTAAATCACCGAGAAAGCTAAAAATAGCCCAAAACCTTCCGCAGGCAGGAAGGTTCTGTGGAGTGCAGAAAGGGAAGGCCTGGCACCAGGATGCCATGGCCAGGCAGCCCCAGCAGTGACAGCAGCAGTGCCTCCTCTGGGCTTTGGGGGGCTCTCAGCATTCCTGGCCTGAAACAGCCCGGATACAGCGGGTTGGTGGCCCCGGGGCCTTTTCCTGAGGCGGGGTTGGGCTGGATGTCCCTGCTGTGGGCAGATGACAAAATGGAGTCAGGAATGAAGTGACCTTGAGGTGGCAGCTGAGGGGCTCAGCTCCAGCCTGTCCCACCCGTGGGGGCTCAGCAGTGCCCAGGAGCAGGGCCAAGGCAGGGCCAGCCTGACCCCTGTGGGTGCTGGATGGAGTCTGTGGCTCTCAGCCTTTGCTCCCAAGATTCTTCTGGCTGGGCTAAAGAGGAGTCAAGCCAGGACCTGGTGACGCTTTGTCAAGGCTGGTGGCCAAGGTGACAGAGATGTTGTTGGTCACCTACCAGGTGCTGCCTCCTCCAAACACCAAACAAAAGCCCAAAGCACACACCAAGCCACGTGCACCCACCTCTGGCACTGACATCCCCCCAGTCCCTTGGAGCTGTTTCCACATCCACTGCCTGCTCCCAGCAGTGCCAGGAGATTTCTCTGCCAAAAAGGGATTTGCTGTTACCTGGGAATGGATGACGAGGCTCCAGAAGCATCCCCCAAAGGCAAGGCTCTGCTGGAAGGTGACAGCACTGCTCCATCATGCTGCCTCAAATTTATTTCCACCCAGCACAGGGACGCCATCCCTTGTCACACGTGGCCAGTGGCTTCTGGACAGGGCTTGGGTCAGCAGGACATCACGTCCTGGCTCCTGGAGCTTCTTGGGCAGCCCCTTGGCCAGTTTCTCCCCTCTGCAGCCCCTTCCTGGGCTGTTTGTGGCTCCCTGTGCCCCAGCTGTACCCATCACACGTGGTGTGTGCAGCCCACAGAGGAAACCCTGGGTGACAAACCCCGGCGCGGGGGGCGGAGGCGAGACCGGAACAGAGCCGGCGCAGCCTCTGCTGCCATCTCAGGACCTCGGGGGGCTGCCCCTGCCCTGCGACCCCACACCAAGGCAGGATGGAGGATTTGGGTAAGTTGGGCCTCTCCAGAGCTGATCCTGCAGCCAGGCCTGGCTTGGGGTCACACTTTTGGCAACTCCGGGGAGCCTCTTCCTTCCTGTACCTCAGGGCCGGGAGGGGATGACACTGAGGGGCAGCCTTGGAGCCCTGCTCCCTCCTGTGCCTCTCCCATCCCACAGGAATGATGGGGACGGTGGTCGAGCGAGCACTTGGCCAAAAATGGAACCAGCCTGAGAACAGGAAATGGGCTGAGGCAGCGCCACAACCCTGGCTGCACCCAGCGGGAGCTGGGAGCCATCCCTGGCCTGGGGTGGAGAACTGGGCTCAGCGGAGCAGCCACACTGCTGGGGGCATTCCCTGTTCCCAGTGTCAGGGACAGCCAAGGCAGAGGGGTGAAAGAGGAAAGTGCTCAGCCCACCTTGGGGGAAGTGGTGCTCTGGACACACAGGATGGGCCCAGGGTGAGCTTTTCCCTGCCAGGGCTTATGCTGGGTCAAGCTGAGGACTGGCAGAGGTTTCTTTGCTGGTCAGGGATGGTGTGGGGAAGCAGGACTCTGCCCCACTCACACTCTTTGGGAAGGTGGGCACATCCTGCACTGGGATGGGGGCCTCAGGGAGAGTGCTAAGGCCCCTTGGGGCTGGCAGCTGGCCAGCAGGACCTGCTGTGACCCTCCTTTTGCTCCTTAGATTTTGGGAGTGGTACAAGACCGCAGGGTAGGCAGATGGTGGCTGTGGGGCCTGACCTGGGTGTCTCTGTGCAGATGCTTTGCTGGAAGAACTGGAGCAGAGCTCCTGCCTGGCCTCCAAGGACCATGCACTGCAGGGACCAAGCTCCTGCCAAGATGCCCAGCATGGTACCCCAAAGGTAATGCCTGGGCACAGAGAGCCCTCATCTCATGATAGGGTGGTGGAGCTGGGCAGGGGAAGCTGCCAGGGGAGCACCCTGAGGGCTCTGCCACAAGGGTTTGTCCTTTCAGGTGCCACTGCCACCTCAAGCTCAGCCTCCAGGAGAAGGTTTGGATTCAGTGTACAGGTAAAAACAGCCATGGGAGGGCAAAGCTATCTGGGGCTGTCTGTTCCGTGCTGGGATTTGCCATCCAGGGTCACCTGGGACAGATTGTATCCTGCATACCTGCAGCGTTCCCTGTAGTGGCCTGTGGGAAAGGGCTGGGTTGGCAGAGGCAGAGGGGGTCTTGGTCCTGGCCTTGGGGTGGATACCACAGCATATCCCCTCTCTGCCATGCCAGCACCCCTGTGCCAGTCCCAAAGCCGCTGCTCCCCTCGCCCCCACACACGGAGGCTGCCCGGCAGCTGGATGAGCTCCTGGCTGACCTGGGCCACACGCAGAGCAAGGTGAGCCTTGGCCCTGGGGCACCAGGCTGGGGGGTTTGGCCCTCACCCAGACCTCACCATACTCCTTCCTGGCAGCTGGCAGCTGCAGGGCAGGGAGCTGGGGTGTCCACGGAATCCTCACTGGACGACATGCTGGACAGCCTCACACGGGACCTGCAGGAGCTGGGAATCGCGGCCGCACCTGCCGGTGTCTGCGCCTCCTGCCGCAAGCCCATCGCTGGCAAGGTGAGCCCTCACTGCCAGCCTGGCACCCCTGGGCATCCCCCGGAGCCGCCCTCACAGCCCCTGTGCCTCCTCCTCACAGGTGCTCACAGCCCTGGGCAAAACCTGGCACCCCGAGCACTTCACCTGTGCCCGCTGCGGGCAGGAGCTGGACAAGCAGCCCTTCTTCGAGCAGGGCGGGCGGGCGTTCTGCGAGGAGGATTATCACCAGGCCTTCTCCCCGCGCTGTGCCTACTGTGCCGGCCCCATCCGGGAGGTGAGTGAGTGAGTGAGTGAGTGAGTGACCGACCGACCCAGCCCCGACCTCCCCTGCCTCCCCCCAGCCCCCTCACCTCGGCTTTTCCTGCAGAAAGTCCTTGCGGCCCTGGAGCAGACCTGGCACCCCGAGCATTTCTTCTGCGCCCACTGTGGGAAGGTGTTTGGAGATGAGGGTATGTGCCAAGGAACAGGTGCGGGGGTCTGGCCCACACCCCAGGTATCCCCTGCTCTTGTACTTATTTCCCCATCCGACAGCTCCCCATAGTCTCTCCTTTCCCTCCTATCCTGGGTACCACCGTGTCCATATCCCAGTGTGAGCCATCCCCAGGTGGGTGCCCATCCCAAATCCCCTCCCTGCAGGGTTCCTGGAGCACAATGGGAAGCCGTACTGCCACGAGGACTTCCTGGCCATGTTCGCCCCCAAATGCCAGGGCTGTGAGCGCCCTGTCATTGACAACTACCTGTCAGCCCTGCAGGGTGTCTGGCACACCGAGTGCTTCGTGTGCACGGTGAGTGGGACGGCGGGGATGAATGCACGTACTGGGGGTGTTTCCAGGGCCACACCAGCCTTCCTCTCTCCTTTCCCCAGGAGTGCCTGACTGGCTTCAGCGGCGGGTCCTTCTTCGAGCTGGAGGGGAGGCCCTACTGTGAGCTGCACTTCCACCAGCGGCAGGGCAGCATCTGCCACGGCTGCGGCCGCCCCGTCACCGGGCGCTGCATCACGGCCGCGGGGCGCAGGTACCACCCCGAGCACTTCATCTGCTCCTACTGCCTGGGCCGGCTGCACAAGGGCACCTTCTGCGAGCGCGGTGACAAGATGTACTGCCAGCCCTGCTACGACAAGCTCTTTCTGTGAGCCCCAGGTGCCCAGCACGCAGCCTCCCTGCCTGGATGGCCCCAGCATAAAGGTCACTGTCCCTGCTGACCCAAACACACCTCACATCCCACCCATTACACATGCCTGGTGCTGGTCCCACACAGCCAATTGTCCCCAGCTTTGCTGCTGCCAAGCCAGGCATCATTCCTTGCCCCCCTCCCTGCAAGACATCCCTGGCATTGCTCCTTGGACCTGAAGCAATAAAATACCTGGTACTGCCTTCTCTCTGCTTACTGGTGGCTTTGGGGACAAGGGTGCAAGGCAAGGTGGGAGGGCTGGGAAATACCACATGATTTGTCACAAATGTTTCCACCATGCCTGGAAAAAGGAGCTGGGTCCAGCAGCAAAGAAAGACCAAAGGGGGCAGGCACACATCACACTTTAAAAACTTTATTTATATAAAAAAATCATTTTGTTTTAAAAGCGTTACAAGAGTGTGCACAGGAATCAGACAAGGAACGGCTTGGCGCTTCCCCCTCCCCACCTCCTTGGCCCCCCTCCCCACCAGGGCCAAGGAGGAGAGAAGGGGGATGCTGTTTTTTTGGTTCATTTGGAATTAAAAATTAAAAAAGGAATTAGTGTTTTACATATTTAAAGGAAAAGAGAAGAGTTAGATCCCAGAACAAAACCCAACTGAGCTGAGGTGGGGCTGGAAGCAGGGCAGGCCCAGCCAGAGCTGGGGGGGAAGTGTGGCAGGAGCAAGGCACCAGCTCTGCCCCTGCCACCTCCCCATGCCCCGAGAGCCCATCCTGGGGGAAGCCCAGGGCTGGGAGGGCTCCTGCTCCAATTTGCAGCCTCCTACAGAAGCTTCCAGTTGCACAGGGAGCCCCAGGGCCCCCCAAAAGATCACAGCACATGGATGTGCCCCAGCACCACAGCCAGAAGAGGAGGAGGAGGAGCACATCCCAACTCCCGTGGCAGCCCAGGCCAGGATGCAGATGAGCACCCCGCACCCTCTTAGTGAGGGCAGGGGGGTTGGGCTCCCCCCACAAGAGGCTCCCAGCCCCACTGCAGACAGGTAAGGCTCCCAGCAGGGAAGGGAAGAGCTCAGCCCTGCCGGAAGGCCAGGAAACTCCCCTTTCCCAGGGAAGCAGCTGGACAGTACGATTCAAAGAGCTATTTCACAGTGGCAAAAGAAAGGCACGTGTCAAGATAAAGTCAGCGGGGCAGCGCTGCGGGATCCCAGCTCCAGGGGCCCGGCACAGTGCGCCCCGAGCCGCCTGCTCTCCCCAAAACCCTGCCGCATCTCCTCCCTCCGTGGGGACCCTGGCCCATGCCCCAGCACTGACCTCCTTCCTCACAGAAGGATCCTCCTCACACAGGCACTGGGTGGGAGCCAGGGCCCCATCCAGCCCCCTCTGCAGGATCCAGAGCTGGATCTCCCTTCCCATGCCCCCAAAGCCTCATCTAGAGCAAAGCAAGAGACGTTATTGCTGGTTTTCCTTCCCCTGGCCCCTGTGCCTCCAGCCCCTGGACCCTGGTCCTGCAGCCCTCAGAGAGGAGGGATGCTCCTGCTGTCCCCATGGCGCTGGTTAAAGAGTGATCCCACACAAAAAAATATATCCTATAGGCAACAAAACCAAACAAAAAACAAGGCGGCGGCAAGTGAGGTCCCAGTCCCTGTCCCTGTAAGACACCTCGGAGCAGGGGGAAGGTGTGGGAGAGAAGGCAGCTCCTGGTCAAGGCAGAGATCCGAGTCCTTGTGCAGCATCCACGCCGGCTGATCCGGCAGAGTCAGGCAGGAAGGTTTTACTCTCAGGAGGAAGGAGGTGGTGGAGGACGGGAGGAGGAGTTCTCAGTGGTGGTGTCCCAGAACAGGGAGGTGCAGCGGCCCGGAGGAGACCGAGTGGCCCGGGCTGCCCTGGGGACCCGGCCCAGGCGTTTGGCTGGATGGTTGGCACAGAGAGTCCAGCAAAATTCCAACAATAAGACAAGGTAAAAGTCGGTCCATTCCACCATGAAGAGTTATATATTTATATATATAATATATTATCAACCCAAATGGAACAGAGGCAGGGAGGCCAGCTAGATCTTCTGCTGTGGAGAGAGAGAGAGGGACAAGTGTTAAGGCTGGAGAGGGAGTGAGGGCGGAGGCAGGATCACAGCACCAGTGATTGCAGCAGCAGTGATTGGAGCAGGATTTGGCTGGCCAAGCACCCCTAAGAGCACAGCAGGATCTGTCACCACTGTCAGATTGGGCAGGACACCGTGGGACATACCGACACGGGGGAGGGAACAGCAGCATCTTCCTCCTCCTCCTCTACCTCAGGCTGCGACTCCTGCCCCTCCTCCTGCTGCAGACACATGCGGTTAGTAGGGGCCATGGCATGGGGAGTGTTAGTTGTGGGAGCCCAGCTCTCCTCTCCTCTGGCAGACAGGACAGTGACGTGGCATTTCCTGCACCCATCCATCCCACTGTTCCCGAGTTAAAGAGATCTGCTCACCATCAACGGCGCTGCCTTCACCGGATCCATCTCGCAGAGGTCACCGGATCGGTCCAGCGTCCTGCTGTGGTCCCTCTCGTTGAGTGTGGAATAGTTGTCTGGAGCAGGAGAGGGGACAGTCAGTCAGTCGTGTCACCTCCATGGGGGGCTGCACCACCCCCGCAGGAGATGTGACACTGCCCTGCTCCCCCCCATACCGAGAGGGAGTCCCTCTCCTACCTGGTCCCATGTTGCTCATCTGGATCTCCTCCCGGGAGGATTTCTTGTCTACAAGCACAGGAGAGCACATCAGGAAAAGTTCCTGCAGTCAGGAGCTGCAGAGGAACTGGTCCCTGCCCCAGCTGGGGGAGCCCAGGCCCAGCTGCAGCTGTAGCTCTGTGACCCAAGGACAACACAGAACCTACAGTGCCAGCCCCAAGAAGCTATCTAAGGCCCAAACTGATGGCCAGGAAAGCCACCCAAGGCCCATACTAATCGCCCTGTGTGAGCAGCTGAGCTGCCAGGGAAGCCAAAGCTGAAGAGCAAGGGAGAGGACAAACACCAGCTGCCCCACAAGGCAGAGGGATGATGGCAGGTACTGGTGCTGAAGGCAAGCACATACCTGTTTTTTGGTTCCTGTCGATGAGAGGCAAGGTGCTGTCATCAAAGGAGTTGCCTCCCTGGGTCCGAGAGGCATTGTTCAGGTTCACCTACAGCAACAGACAGTGACCACTCAGATCCTGGGCCCAGAGGTTCCTTCCTAATCAGCACATTCCAGCCCTCCAGCACCAGCACAAACCCAGGAATCCTCCCACAGCCCTTGAGTGGAAACCCAAAGTAAGCAGAAGGTGCCAAAGCCCCTACTGCATCCCCATCAGAGTGGGGGGGCCTGCCTAGACTGGGGCAGTGCCTGGCTCTCCAGCAGCAAGGGCAATCCCTGTTTTTGGGAAGGAAACTGAGCCTGGGAGAGTCCTGTTCTTCAACACTGCCACAGCAGCACTTAGAGCGACAAAAATCCTCCCTCATGTGAGACACAGGACGTGACACTTTACAGAGTGTTCCTAGCAGAGACTTCCTGCTGGCCGTTGGCTGAAAAACAGCACAGGGACACCTCCCTGGGTGCCCAGTGCCACCAGCAAGGTGAAGAGCCACAGGCCAGTACTGCTAAGATCCAGGAACACCCTTTGCCCTACTGCAGGATCCCACCTACCACCCGGGCCACCACAGGGCATCCCCACACCTGGAAATCTGACTTCTTCCAGCCTTCCTTCTCAAGGGGCTTCCGCAGCTCCTTATAGCCCCAGACTGTCTGCAAGACGAGGGCAGCTGCCCGGACTTCTCTCTCTGAGCGGTTCCTAAAAAGAGGTGAAGGAAGATATGTTTGGAAACCTGGAGAAAGTGAAGCCCCTCTCCACCCCTGGCATCATCCTTTGAGCAGAGCCTACCCAGATTTGTTGATCAGCACAAGCTTTTCGATCCCCTGTGTTTCCCGGAGCTTTTTGGCCGCCTCGAGGTTGTCCACGATCACTTCATTGATGGTGTTGAGGATTGACACCACTGTGTCCTCAGAGAGGTTTTTGGCAGGGGTCTGCTGGCCTCCAGGCAGGTTCTTCACTAGGTTGGGGATGGCATGTTTGCCTGGGAAGGATAAACAGCTGGGTGTGAACAAGCAGGAAACAGGTCTGAAGGGAAAACCACTGACAGGTGACCTGTTTTGCTGTTCCCTCTCTGCAGAGCTCAGCACTCTCTGCTCTGGGTGAGGGCAGCAGACAGAGGCTGGGCTGATGCTGTGCCCACACACTTCCCCAGGAGCCAAGAGGAGAAGGAGGAAGCTCCTGCCCAGCCTGCACGGATATAGGGAGCGTGCCATCCTCACCGATGAGCTCCTTGTTGCGCAGGTCCACGGCCAGGTTGCGCAGTGCCCCGGACGCCGCTTTCACCACGCGCTCGCTGTCGTGGCTCAGGAGGTCAGCGATGGAGGAGAGCCCCTTCTCCTGGCGCAGGGCTGAGCGGATGTACCGGCCATACTGCGGGGAGGCACAGGGCCACTGTGTCACCCGGGGCTGGGGACACCGCTGCCAGCCAGCCCCACGGGTGGTGTTCCCAGCTCCCCTTCCCTGGCCCAGCTCCGCGGGCACTCACCGTCCAGCTGCCAGCGCACAGGTTCTGGATGGCTCCTGCTGAAGCCTCCAGGATGGCTGGAGTCTTGCTTTCCTTCAGGAGGGAGATGTATATCCGCACCACTTCTGGCTGGAAGAGGAGCTCATAGCCTGCCAGGAGGACAAGGGTAGGAAGGCTTTATCCAAGGGTTCTACTAGTGTCTGCCTAATCCAAAGGGGTACTGCTGGGCAGATGAAGCTGGAAGCTTCTACCCAGGCTCCCAAGGAGTGGGATCCTTGGCACAGAGAGGGCCAGGCTGCCCCAGGGTTTTAGAAACCTCAGCCACTCATTGGTATGGGGCTGTGATTCACACTTGTCCCCAGAGGCTTCTGGGAATGACCCTTCCTCATCCTCATGGCTGAGGAACAATTTAAGACTGAGATTTTAGCTTTAACTCATGCGTGTTCTTCATGCCCAGGAGTGAGGAGCAGGCAAGAGGGCAACTGTGCTGCCAAGTCTGAGACCACCACAGAGGGCTGTGTCACTGTGCTGTCGCTCAGCCCCTGGGGCAGTATTTCCCTTTGAAGCCTGTCCTGAGGCAGCACAGACCTCATCCATGCACAAGATGCTCACAAGTACTGGCAGAGCTCATCTTTTAATGCCCAGGAATGCCTTGGGCA